AAATATCCAACGCATACTTGCGCTGAGTGAGCACACAATTCCTGCTGGTGACCGTGCGACCTCAATTCCCAGGAAATATTTCAATGGTCCGAGGTCCTTGATGCTAAATTTCTGATCCAGATAATCCTTGATTTGCTAGCATGGCTATCGTTTCCTGCTAAAATTACGTCATCGACGTAAATCAGAGCCGCACTAAGCAACCGTCCATCTGCATCCCGGATCACTGCACCTAGCCCCACTCCTGTCGAGTCCCTAAGGATGCATCAACATTAATCTTCACACATCCTCTTGACGGTGGTGACCAAGAAGCACCCCTATTATTCCCATTTACAGACGGAGGTGTAGAATTCACTTTCTGAAAGTTAAATAAAAAATCCATTGCCATAGAAAAGAAGTTTGCCCCCAACCCCAAAAGAGAGCAATTCTCAAACACCTTCTTATTACGTCCGTACCTGGCCGCCCAACACAACATGGCAACATTCGCCAACTCATCATCCTTAGGGAGTTAATTAAACTGGCCCAATTCCAAGTCCAACCGACTAAACCTCCTCTCCCTATCGGTCGAGTGACTTCGTTCCTCTCCGTTCTAGCTTTCTAAATAAGTCAGATCGGTGCGGGAAAAACTCCTAAATCAGTAAATCCGGAAGTTCCTGCCTTCCCCAGAGTTCTTCCTTTTGTTCAAGATGCTTATTCTCTTTCTTTCTTTGGCAGTAAGATGCTGGAATATAGTATTGTAGCGGTAGTAAACTACCTGTTCTCTAAGAAGCAAGTAAGCTAACTACCTTATCTCATTAGCCAAGCGTCAGTACATGAGAAGGATTTTATGCTGTTAACAGCTAAAACAGCCTCGCAATTGAACTCGAAATTCCTTTTGAATAAAAAGATGCGCGGAATCGAGAAAGTTCTCTTATTAGCTTAAACAACACTTGTCTATAGCTCCTCTAGGGCCTTTACGACTTAATTTCTTCTTCTCTCCCAATGAAAACAATCGAAAAAAGTCTGTTTGAACAGGGCATAGCGTCATAGGAAAGGAATGGATCTCCATCAACAAGGCTTCTTTTTCTCTGCTCCCTATTCTCAAACTGGAAATTTATTCTTCTTACTAGCCTCTCTAGTCTTCTCTTCCCATTCATTCTCTTTCTGTTGCCTAGGCTAGGCTTATGTAAAACTATTCTCTCTGATCTCTGGGCTTATGGATAAGGAGACATCCGATTCGGTTACACAATTCAATTGAGCAATAGCATCCTGGTGGCAGACCCTTTTGAACCAGACGATTAGGGCCGGAGACATCAGACGAGAATAGTAAGACGACATAACCATGAATGCCCAGTTCGAGCCAGCTACGGGTCTTCTAAAGCCCGTAACGGAGCTTATTTGCTAACTTTCCACATCCTATGTATATTCATTGAATTCAGCTACAACAGATGAAGTGGTAAGCCTGCTTATCTATTTCTCTTATTATCTTAAGCGATAGCAGACTGTTCGTCTGTTTGACACCGAGGATCCCCTTCTATACCGTCATAATAATGAATCAAGGAAATCCTCTTTATCAAATCGTCTGTGCTCACGAATCGATTGTGGAAGCTTAATGAAAAAAAAATTCTCGTAGTATAGTAACTGTTAGAATATGACTTGAATTTGATTTGGGTTTGTTTTGTGTTTTGGGCCTATTATGTTTGGGTTTGGGTTTGTCCTTTTTCCTTGTATGTTTGGGAAAAGGTATTTGATTTTCTGTTTGGGATTAGGAGAAGAGTTTTATAAATACTCTTCATCACCCTAGTCTGTAGCAAGGTCAGTCAGGTTAGTTTGTTTGGTTTGTCCGTTTGGAATTTGGTTTGTAACCTGTACTCTCCTCAAATTAGTGAAATTTGTTCTACCCTGCCCGTGGATTAGCTAGCACACATTGTGTTAGTGAACCACGTTAAATTTGTGTTCGTTCGTGTTGGTTTGGATTATCGATTGCACGCTTCTGTTCTGACAAGTGGTATCAGAGCCTGGTTGCGGTTTTGGGAATTTGGCGCTGGACTAAAGTTTTGCTTTGTGGAGTTTGGTTGGAGTTTGTTTGATAGTAAGAATGGCTGCTATCAGTATAAAGATTGAGAAGTTTACTGGAAGAAACAGTTTAAGTTTGTGGCAGATCAAGATGCAAGCACTGTTGAAACAACAGGGTTTGTGGGCTCCGTTGTCTGGAAAATCGAAGAAGGAAAGCATAGATGAAGAAGAGTGGATTACTTTGGAGGAGAAAGCTCACTCTACAATCTTGCTTTGTTTGGCTGATGACATCATCACTGAGGTTGCTATTGAGAAGACTGCCGCGGGTTTATGGTTGAAGCTTGAAAGTCTATACATGACAAAGTCTTTAACTAACAAGTTGCATATGAAGCAACGTTTGTTCAGTTTGCGTATGGAGGAAGGTACATCTCTGAGGAATCATCTAGATCAACTCAATACCATCTTGTTAGATTTGCGGAATATTGATGTTAAAATAGATGATGAGGAT